GCTTATGAGCGCCGCGAGCGGGACCTTGATCCTGAAGATAGCGTATTCCAGGAATGGCAATTGGAAAACCCGCCTGTCATACCAGCGGCCAGTCCCCCTCCCTCATATGACACGATAATGCCGGGAGCAGCTTCGGCGATTACTAACGACCCCAGGCGCGCCGCTCCACGATTCCGGAGGCGTACAGTTGCACAGCCAGCACAAAGGACAAACTCTGAAAGTAGACATCGTTCAACAAGGGGAACTAGCAACGAAATCAGGCGGCAAAGTGCCAGAATCCGACACTATTATCCTGAAGAGTCCCCAAGGATGCAGCGTTGGCTAGATCTAAGATAGTTCAAGGAATCGATGTATGGTAGTTAGAAAATTGAAAATTGGGCTCCGCGAATCTGGGTAGTACATCAATGACTTAAATCCAAGAATCAGCACAAGAAATAAGCTAGCAGCGTCTAGACTTCAGAGTTGTGGCCTGTTCACGCAATTTCCTCCACGCGCCTAGTGCCGTATTTTGACCTTTGCTCCAATTCAAAATAGAACTCTGATTTTAGGGCCTCCAGTTCGTCCTTCAGGATTCCATGCTGCTCATACAGCAAGGCGTATGTTTGATTTAGTTTGTTATACTGCTGTTGTAGGGAATTATAGGCAGTCCGCTCATGGTGATTCTTGATCCCCGCATTCGAGAGGGCGTGCTCAAGTCTCGAAATCTGTTGAAGGTGATATTGCTCACGCGCAAAGAGGTTACGGACGAGAGACCAGATGTCGATTGGTGAGTTGCCGCCGTCAAATGGATTCTGAGGGTTCTAAGAGATTATTAGCTTTGTGTGAACTGACGCTACATGTAGTATAAATCATACCTGGGTTGCCATGCTGTCCAGGTTCTTCGAAAGTAGATGAAGGTTCGAGGAATTCTGGTATTAGCAGCACAGGGGAGCTGAAGAGGGTCAGTCTTATAGCCAGATGTATGAAGATCATACAGCCGCTACTACCGCACAAGAGCCTCGTGGGCGCTTCGCTCTGTTGATCATTTACAGGGGCTAGCTGTGCGAGTCACACGATCCTGAGGAAAAAAATAGACTTGTAGATATATTGGATATAACCAAATACTCGTGGGATCGTACGTGCGACACTATTGGCGGCTAGAAATAGACTCGTGGATGTCGTGCAGGCTATCCTCGTGGGCGTTATGTGAGCGGAACTGTTCGCAATCAGAAATAACCTCGTGGGCGTCTTTCCAGAGGTGGATATCCCTCATATCCAGTGGCCGTCTTGCTGTCTAAACCGTGGGCGTTTCCCGGAAGATACTATTCGCTACCAGAACTAGATTTGCAAGCATCTTGGCGGTCACCTGTACGCAGGGCGTCTCGGGCGCCATAGTCGAGAGCACGTTGATTTAGATCTAACGGACGGGCGTAGTAGTATCGCGGGCGGCACAGGAGCTCCTACTACTGGCTAGCTAAAATTGGAGACCTTCCTTGTTCGTCTCGGGTCTCAGAGCCACTAGAGACATTAGAGTCTATAAAGAAGAGTATCCCCTCATCCACCGTGGATGCACATGGACAAAAAGACATCGCAAACCATGGACAACTCGTCTTTCAACGAACTTATTAACTGGGGAGATGATGGCTTGACCGAATTCCCAGATTTTGACTGGGCTCTTTTTGACTCTGTTTTCTCCTTTTGCCCGGAGCAGCCCATCGAAGAAGTGCCAGACCTCATCCCTGACATCCAACCTGTGGAGCAGGATGCTATCTCCTCCCTTTGCGGCCAAGTTGAAGAACTATCCACTCGTGTCGCAACACTTGAAAACCAGTAAGCCTGTTTTTTTTGCTTTGCCCCCTAATGCGACGAGCGATGCTAATAGTGTCCAAGACTGAATTCTGAGAGCCGGTAAGCAAATCAGCACAGAAATGGGACCTGGATGGATGGTAACGGAAACTAGGAAGCGGCAG